ATGATTGCTTGATAAGAAATAGAAAGGTATATTCGACGATATTACGCTACGTAAAGAATCTATCCGTGATAATTTTATTAGTTTAAGACAAACTAAAGTAGAATTCGAGTATCAATCTGTTTCTTATTTTCCTTCTGAAATAATACTAATAGCTTAAGAAGAATCGATGATGAGTAGGCGTATACATGTCGGCAAGCTCATTCTCCTGCCATGGTAATTATATGTATGTATGTGCCTATTTGAATTCTATCTCCAAACGATGAGCATGATGCGTGCTCATTTGAATCTATTTGGGTAAGGCACAGCAAACTCACAATCTTGTTCACATCGTTTGAGTGAACTGTATTTTCTTCTCAGTTGATTCTTACATTTGTTTGTTCTCACCATTGATAGGGAATTAGAAATTACCAGCTTTATAAAAAAAAAACATTACCATAAATTATTGAATCACTCTTGTCATCATTTTGTCGTTAGTCGATTCAGAGCGAGAAAGAATCACTCATGCACCAACTTGTGATTATCTCTTAAATAGACGAAACTTGATTTTTTGTGTTAATATCAGATTTTTTCAGCGTTCGAGATCTTATATTCAAACTAAAGATCACATTTTCCATATAAATAGTCTCTTGAGTAAGAAGGAGACAGAACGTTCGTTCATCTACTTGATTGAATAGAGGTTAAGGAAACAATGAAAAGAAGCGAGGCTGTCAAAGAAAGAAAAGAATACTATATCCTTTTTATTTTTCTCACATATCGCCTATTTTTCGTGAGACATGCACTCGATAGTTTTTCTATTTTCCGTTTTAAGGAATTTAATTAGTTTGAACAGAAGAATAACTAGAGCTTTTTTCTTCACAACTCTGGTTATTGTTATTTTCTTTTTCGGAGAAAGAAATGAGATCTTAAAAGATAGTTCACATTTTCTTCGGCCGACTTAATTTACATATAAATGCGGAGAATAACAAATTTATCTTACACGTCCAATCATAAATATGAACATCTACAACTATTCAATCTCATATAAGTTCGAAGATAAAAAGTAGCACGGAAAAGAACATTTCTTTTTCTGTTTTTCCTCCCTTAGTAATCGTCCATAAAAAAATAGAAAACCATATAAAGCCTCCCTTTTCATAATTGCTTACATTCGACGATTAAATGAGTATTGGTATCGAAAGCTGAATACAGCTTTCAGTAAGCAAATAGATGATATTATCTGTCATTTTCTTCGATCGACTTCGATGTTTACCCTCAATTCAAAGACACATCACGCGACAGTCGCATATTTAGACAAAAATACATTGAAAATTCCACCGGGACAACGAAGCGTGTGATGAATACACTCTTGTTTAATTTACTGATTCTTTCTTCATCCATGATCGGTGTTGTATATTTCATTCATTTGCCATTTCATTTCACAGACTAATATGTAATGTCAACGAGTAGTTAACGAACAAGATTATCCTGTCGCGTTCTTTTCTCCAGATAGAACATGTCAAACAATTGTCTCGTCATATTCATATTTCTATATGATAGATGTTAATATTTGTGTTTGCCTGTTTATTGCGCATATGTATTGTCATAGGACAGACAAGCATGTCTTATCTTTTCTCGTTGTTGTCCATCTTCTGTATCTTGTTCTGTTAGAACAACATTGTGTTTTTCCTATCTCTTACGTTTGATAGAAATATTTTCTATATCAAGATATAGAGCAGAAACAAAAGAAAGTGGAAATTAATCTCGATTCATTAGCAATTCTGCTTTTTTTTCTTCATTTAGACAAAATCTCGATCTTAATAAAGAATTAGACGACAAGGTGGCAGAAGGTAGAACTTTAGGCAATATTGGCAATGTCAATTATTTATTGCAAGATTACTCAACATCGATTGAGTACCTTGACAAAGTAAATGGACTATTTCATCTTTTCATTTTTCGACATCAACTGATCGATTTTAGCGTTTGACGATTGCCAAAGAATGCAACGATCAAGCCGGTCAACGTCGTGCACATGGCAATCTTGGCAATGCTTATTTATATTTAGAAGATTTTGATAAAGCACTGCAACATTACAGGTACGAACAAAATCGATTTCACCTCGCTAAACTAATTTGTAACTGTTTTCGTTTCTAGAGAAGCGATGAACATAGGTGAACTGACTCACGATGAATTGTTCGTTGCACGAATGAATTTCACTATCGGTCGTGTTTATAGTTTAAAACAAGATTATGATACATCGATTTATTTTCATGAGAAACATTTGCATTTAGCGCGACAATTAGGAGATTCAATAGGTCAATGTCGAGCCTATTATATTTTAAGTCAATTACATGAAAAAATTAATCAACTTGAAAAAGCGACCAAATATGATAGTCTTTACAAAGCTCTCGCGCGAGAAGTAAAATAACAAAGACAAACCATTGAATTATATATGATTTATGCGATTAATTTAGATTGATGAACCATTAGATGATACAATATCCATGTCGACAGCATCAGGACCAACAAAACATACGCTGAAGGTTGCTTTTTTTGAAATCAATGCGAACCGATTCTCGAATGTTGGACGTTCTTTTAGAATTTACGTACCGATTCGATTAGTATCAGTTTATCGGAGGGCGGTGGAACAAATAATGGTTCGTCAGGTTCAGCATCTCAAAGTCCACGCTCATCGCGCTCAAATGTTAGCGTGAATAGCAGTGTCACCGATGTACGTTCATATACCGGCTCACAAAATACTTCATCACATGACAAATCTATATCAAATAAGAGTAAGAAAAGCAAGACAAATTCGACAAGTCTCAAAACCAATTTCATGTCACATCTCGGAAGAAAATCGCCAATGCAAACAAGAAAAGAAGTATAATTAAAGACAATGTTAATGGATTTTCATACAAAAAATTGCTTTTTCTTTGTCAGTCACTACCAGCTGATCACGATGATTTAGTTGATCTGGTTTGTCGGATGCAGAAATCACGTTTTGAAGATCAACGTTGTGATTTAAAAGCAACAGCCAGCATCCCGGGAGCTACGAATCCTCATGCACAGCGTATGTATTTCGAATCACGTCATAAGTCCACGGTTGTACAAACATGTCGCAAAAGGAAATGATGATGTCAAGGAATAACGGAAATAATTCAGAGAGTATTCATTTAGAAAATATTTACATACCTGTTCAGAGATCATTTGACGAGAAAGATTGGAAACGTAACATATAATTAGAATAAATGATGAGGACAACATTCTTTTCAATAAGAAAAAGTGGAAAAGAAAAACTAAGAAATTTCTTTTCTGTAAATTAGGTCCGAGTGTTCAACTTGAAGATATTTTAAATACAGTTGATCGATTACAACAAACGCGTCTCGATGATCAACGAACAAGTCTTCCAGCAGCGAATCATCATGATAGCAGCAATACTAAAACAACTCGACGTCTTTCACCATTGAACGAACAATTCTTTGATCAACTATCGAAGTGTCAAGTAAGAAAAAGATGACTTTCTGTTCCTAAAGATGTCTTGATCTTCTTTCTTTAGGACTCGCGTCTCGATGATCAACGAGCTGTACTCATACCAATCCATAACCATAATACGTCTTCAGCCAGACCAGCATCTGCATCATCAGTCGTTTCAACATCAACAATAACTACATTATCAACAGGATCGCCGTCGAAAAGTCCTATTCATGAAGCAACGTCAAAAACGCTGCCCGATGATGATTTCTTTTCTCTTCTAAATCGTCTACAATCACGTCGAATCGATCAGCAACGAACATGTTTACCGGTCGCTCATCTCCAAGGAAAATCTCCGCTGGTATCACCGAATTCAAGTAGTACACCATCGAAACAAACCCGTGTGAAACCATAAATTGAATGTAATCTCTGAACAAAAGAAAAAAGTCTTCTTCAAAACTTCTCTTTCTTCTCTATCTCCTCTTTTTTCTCTCTTCAATTGTCTTTTTTTCTGTTTATTGGTTTGTTTGTCTATACCTATATATAGCTATTATTTTTAAATGAATTGTATCATAGAAATGCAAACAAAAACAATTTCATATTCATAATTAGTTCGGATTGTCATGCGAAATGAATATTTCTTGCATTAGAAATATATCATTGATCTCGATTTCTTTCATTTTTCCTCTCTATTCGAAGTTCACATCGAAAGCGCTACACCATTTACTTCATATTAGCCCTCTTCCCTTTCTCACACAATTTCAGACAACAAGGCTACTGCGCACAGACGTTTGACATGCAGTCCGGAATTTCTGACCGAGCAAGAACAGGAAATATAATACATTTCATTGAAAGAAAACGAGCCAGAAACTCAAGCATATAGAGAGATAATTGAAGGCGTCTCGCAAAGACATCTACCTATAGAATGACGAACATATCATTTTGTTTCCTATAATATCTTCAAGAGTGAAAGTCATTGGGAAAAACTATATGAAATTAAACGCTAATTATAGATAAGTCTGTCAATTTTCTAGAAGACTTTGGAGTGTATGTAGTGTAAATATAAGTGTTCGGCTCAGGCGATGTACATCCAATTGCAATGAAAAGTATTTATTATCGAGGGATGGGACCGATTGCTTAATGATTAAACAGTAGATTGTCGAATGACAAGGAACCGTTGATTATGTTCGATGTATTGTGTTGAAAAACGAACGAGAAATGCAATTGTTAATGTCATATTAGTTTATCAATGTGGAAAAGTGTGAACTTCCAGGATGTTTAAAATGTGTGGAATCATTCAAATGAAAACTGTGTTAGCACAGGGGACTGAAGCCGAATGGTTTCATCATCCGACGAGACATATTGAATTGCAACTGATGAAGTTCTATACTGTTTAGTCTATGATCGAAAATCAGAAAAAAAAGAAGACGAGCATAATCATCACGAAAATACAGTGTGTCATGCTGAAGAGAATGAAAATCAGAGAAGAAAGAAAAAAAAAGATATCTGATCAACAGCAGAAAAGAAATGTACATAAAAAAGAAAAGAATTTTTGTTTATGAGTCCTTCTTCTTCGGACTAGTTGGCTTGGTCACTTTTTGCGGCGATGATTCATCGTCGGATGATGAGATCTCTTTATCACTTGCGGTTTGCGTTGCTTTGCTTTTCGTTGTTTTCTTTGTCGAAGCGGCAACTTTTGATGTACCACTAGCGTGCTTTTTTACGGTTTGTTTACCAGTTGCGGATACTGCACGTTTCGTTTTTGTTGCAGTCTACAATGAATGGACAGATTTCGAGATTGTTAGGCAAATTATTATAGACAGAATTTTCCGTCGAACCGAACTTCAAATAGCTGAGAGTAAAATGCAAAATAGAAAGGATGGGTAAGAAATTTTCCTTCTTGAGTTTATACAAAAGGCAGTTTAGCATGGATAATTTGCATCTGAAGTCAATTTTTATAAACGAGTTAGTTACGCATTATCAAAATAATTAGCGCATATTTAGTTTTCTACGTGCTTTAAGACAGTCTAACATGAGTATTCGAATTCGGAGGATTCGTCGCATTTGAGACTAGCGTTGACTAAATAATGAATCATTTACTAGTTTTTCAGCAATTAATAATTATCCACCAGAGTACGGATAGACCCATTGTTTATCACGAACTTAAGTTAAAAATATCTCCTCATCAATCAACTATGAATATGATGTGACTTGTCTGAACTCTGTTCAACAACTTCATACGAGAAATAACAAATCTTTTATGTCTCAAGGTTAATGAAGACGCAGTTTTTTAGGAACTTTTTCATCAGACAAATGTTTGAATCTTTTGAATAGAAGTAGAGCACAAGTTGCACTACGTTTTTGCACGCAAAAGAAAAAATGCCTGCTTAGCCAAAAACTTCTTTTTTTTTAATCGATACGAACAGCTTTTCTATTGGTGGCAGTCGATGATGATGACCGTGGAGATCTTTTTTTCGTTGGTTCGGCTTGTGTTGCGTCCCAAGCAGTTAAAGCTTTGATATACTCTTGTTTTTCTCCTTCATGAAGATCTACGAATGGCTAAACAAGCGACTTCTTAACACTGAAAATATGTGAACCAATTCAGATTTACCTGTTTCTCTTGTGCAGACATCTTTGCCCAACGTCGAGCAGCATCTGCTATGAAGTCCTGTATACGAAAGAGATGCGTTGATATTCATTATTGAAGAGCACAAATACTTTAAAATTGGCTCCAGTGCGATCAAGCGTGGAGAGATAGTGTATATAAGCTGGACGTGGTCGCTTCCTTGGCAATTGTTCCACAGTTTTCTTAATACGAAGTTTAATTCTCTTAGCGTTTTCATATGCATCAATGGTTTGCAAATCGCTCGGTGATAAACGTTGTTTTTCTTGTTCATACGCTAGTCTCTGATCTCGATTATTTTTTAAATAAGTCTATCAACAGAAAAATCATGATAAAACATTCTCTTCATTTCTTCGTTTATACTTCTTTCTCTTCAACAGGTAAATTTTTCCACATTTCAGAGATTTTCTTGGCGACTCCACCCAACTTCAAATCTAGAACGATTTATTATTGTTCATATTCGAATTTACAGTCGAGTGTTGGTTTACCCGGATACTTTTCACTAACACCATGGTAATTTTCTTTCAGAAAACTCGCATAAGGACCTCGTGCACGTAAATTCCGCATTCTATTGATCAAATTCGTATTTTTTTCGACCTCGCCAGCAGGAAGTGATGTTTTATCACTTCCTGTTGCCATTGACCGGTGTTCAAATGTTAATACAGACACAAGGTTCTGCCTGAAAAGAAGATTTGTTGTTTGTTATTTGTTCTTCATTGGTCTTACTTCGCAAACAACGTCGAACCTGTAACCCGTGCGATCATCTGAGTTGTACATGCTGTCCACATGTTCTGTTTTATTTGTCTAAAGTTCAAGAGAAGAACATTATGTAGAAATGATAATGAATAAGAAACTTGTTTCCGTCTTCCTTTTTTTTTGTAAACAATAGACAAAAAACACATTTCACAAAAAGACAGATGAATTTGAGCACAATCAATCGATAACATTCAGTAGGCGCGCATCTCTAGACATATTCGTTCTCTCAAACTAAAACCACTTGAACTTTGACACACAAAAACAGAGAAAGATCAATGAATTAGTTGTAATCATGACAAAGAAAGAAAAACAATTGATATATCGATACAATTCCTAACGAAGCCGCAATCAATTTCGTCCTATTCAGTCGATTCGGGTGGAACAATTTCTAAAGCTAAAAGAAAGAAACAACTATTTAGTGTAATTTTCTGGGAGCTAATTCGTTTACCTTCGGCTTTTGTTGTCGGTTCTTCTTCGACTGGTTTTTCTGTTTGTTTAGGTTTATCGGTTTCATTTGATGGTTTCGTAGGAAGGCTTTTCTTGGTATCATCTTCTGATTTTCGCGTTTGAGACGGTTGTTTTTCTTTGATACCGAGTGTATGTGTGATATGATCGAATAATGTACGTGATTCACCACGAGCACGATACAGCGCATCCGAATAACGTTTGTATTTCTCTTCGAGTTCTTTAAGATCGTGTTGAGTATCACGTAAACGTTTCTTCGTATCGGATAATTGGTCGCTATAGGACCGACTACTCTTTTGTGCGGAATGTAAATCATCCGTAAGTTTTTCTAAATAAAATTATTCTTTAATCGAAAGTGATTTCGAGAGTTTCACTTACGAATTTCCTTTTTCAAAGTGTCAATTTTCAATTCCAGACCTGTTTGAATTTTATTCGATATTTCCAGTTGTTTCATTGCACGTTGATTATCCAGGGAATTCGTCGATTGAGTCTCGTTGGTTGTAGTTGAACGTATTCCAAACACAGACACATGTGACGGCAAGGAGAGTAGGTTTCCTGTGAAGAGAACATCGAAGAATGTCATTTCGAACGAGAATTCCGAATGTAGATTTACCTTTTGGTGCAAGTGGATCAATGTCAGTTTCGCTGATTTCAATCGAAGTTGTTGAATTGTTATCATCGGTTGGTAAAGCTTTATCAGTTAATTTATGATATTGAACTTTTTCATTATGCGCCGTTCGACTAACTAAGATTTTTGCCTAGGAAAGAATATTTAGTTTCAATACCAATTGAATCTCGTTCTTTTGTTAAATTTACTTCGCTTTTGGTTAAAGATAAGCCGGCTAGGAGAAGAATTTCTTCCAGATCTTTCTCCGTTAGGTAACCACAACGATTTCGATCGAAATATGTAAACGCAAGCAATAGTTCAGGATGAATTGTACGTTGCCGAGTCTGAACCGTTGTGGTAGATGTCTTATGATTTTCATTAGTTTCTTCATGAGCTGCTTTCTTATGCTGCTCGGATGAATCATCCTTCAGATCAAACAAAATTTACTAATCTTTTGTTTATGGAAAGAAGTTTCCTTACTTGACTTGGCGTTCGTTTTCGTTTCTTTTCATTTTCTTCTGCGTTTGTATCCGAATCAATCACAGGAACATCATCATTACTTGTTGCCATAGTTTCAACTTGTTCTTCTTGTTTTGCTTCATGATTTGTTTGTTGTTCGTTTGTTATTAGTTCAGTATTCGCGTTCGCAGGTTCACTGCTTGTATCTGTGACTTCCAAACAACTGTATAATGATCGGTAGATATGATAAGAATAATCACGCATTAACATTTCAGAAAACGCTTCAGAGAACAGATACAGCTGTGGAAAAAGAGAACGTGATAAATTTGGAACAAATTCATTAGATTAAGCCTTACTTCGAAACATTTTTCCTTAATTGTGTCTTTATTTGCATAGTTGAGGAGATAATGAAGTGATACAACACGACAGTCGAATTTATCACCTTTAGCTGTGGTTGGATGAACAAGTATTGAACGTTGGGAAGGAAGTTGATATTTGCTTTCGATATCTTTTCGTAATTTATCAATATCAGCTTGGTTATGTTCTTTTATTTCAACTTTTTCCGATTTCGACGTTGTTTCCGGCGCAGTTGTTGATCCTTGTGCTTGTTCTTCGCTAGTTTCAGTACTGGCAACAGCTGCAGCTTTTTCTTCATCGGCCTAACAAATGTTATCGATTGGATATATTTCTGAAATTACGCGTTTCAATTGTAAGCTTACTTGCTCTTGTTGGAGTACTTTAGTTAGTCGTTTTCTCAAATCGACTTTTATTCCAGTAACAGGTTGTCCGCGTGCTTTCAATTCTTTTTTGAGATCGCTCACCTGCAAATATCAATTGATAGAGACGAAGTCATGAATATCGACTAAACTTACACGAAGATTTTCCACGTCAACAGCTGAATGATGAGATGCACTAGGTGTCTCACTTTGTTCATCCTGAAAAGTGAAATACAAATGTTTGATTCAATGATTAAAAAAGGGACGGAAAATAAGAAGAAAGACAGATAGTTATCGGCAGTTGTGTGTGTCATCAAAATGACAATTGTTGTATCAGACACGCAAGAAGAAATGAAAGAGAGAAACAGAGAGAGAGAGAGATCAACGAATGTATATGTACAGATGTAGTGGCTTCGTTGAGTTCTTCAGCAATTTCTTCATCACATGCTTGCTTGTACATTGATATTGTTTCTTCCCATTCGAGGCTTGATGGCATACAGGCAGCAGCAATATCCGGCAGGAAAACGATGATATTTTCGACACGACTCTCAATCAAACGACCCTTGTGAATTTCTTCTGGACGATGATAGCGCACCTCCAGGTAACGGCACCTAGGATGAGGTACACATTTGATGATCAGAATCAATGACAGATATGGTCAACAATAAGATATATCACATAGAAAAAAAGAAATTTGTCATAGACTATTCGTTATCGTTGTGTATTGTTCCTCGAGGGAAAACAACATAGAATAAGATGCAAAAAAATTCTTGTGAAGAATATGTCAAATTATACACGCTTATTACGTACCATTGAAGACATTTACTAAGATCAATGCCAGTCTGTGCATGAGTGCAACGAATAGCTGTGCGAATAAGCACTTGAGGATCGGTATCGGGATTGGGACCATCAAGTGATTCAGACCATGAACCGCCTAATGGAAAATATTCATTCTGATAACGAACACCAACAAGAAATTTGATTAGTTTTGTTGGATGTTCTAAATCATCTGGATTTATTGTTGAAGAAGTTTTACTATCACCGCTGTTGATTAAACACGAACGCGATATCAATGTTTGAATATCTGGTGATGACATTAACATAACCTAAAAGAGATTGCCGTTTTAATTTCAGCCGGTTAACAAGCACAAGTGACATACTCGAACATTCCATGAATAATCGGCATCAGGTGGATCGAGAACGGAAACTTTACCAGTCGATAGACGTGGTACATTTTTATTAAATACATGAAATGAACAAGGAGTAATAAATTTCATAGGACGATCGAGTGGTATTGTTTGATGCCACGTATAAGATGCATGATAAAAATCGGATGGAATATGTAAACGTGAATAATGGGAACGAATTTGTGTCACATTTAATTCAGAGCTAAAGAACGAAATAAGTATTTCCAAGAGAAACTAATGTTAGCTGATATTTACCAGTCGAGTGATGCTTTTGGTAATGTACAAGTATATTTTGGCAGTGGTACTCGCGAAGTTCGTTTCGGTGTGATAGCTTTGTTCGTACGCGATCGACTTCGTCGTGTGGAATCTGAGCGACGACGATCATTAGCGTTGGAACCATTATTCACAGGCCCATGTCGATCACGATTATTGTTGCCATACTGGTGGTGATGGTCAGCATTCGTGTTGTTATTATTATTATTATTGCTATGACTATTATTATTATTATTATTTGAAGGCAATGGCCGTTTCATATTCGATGATTGGTTACGATTTGGGTTACGATTAATATAAGAATCAGAATTGCGTGACATTGGTTGTGAACTGTTACCTCCTCCCGTCGGACGTTCTAGATTGGTCGAGCGAAAATGAAAGGTGTTTGAAATGAATGTATTCTCTTACGTGGTCGCCGATTATCTGGAGGTCCTGGAACTACTCGAACTTCGAATCCATAATATTTGTAAGGCGTTTGAGTAGCATAACCTTCAGCAGGTTTCATTTGACATACAACATGATCACCGACACGTGGTAGGGGACCGGAGACCGCACTACAACGGAAATTTTCTTCGTGAAAACAAAAAAGACCATGCAAAATAGTAGCATTACTTCAATTTAAATGAAATTTCATTGTCAATAACACCATAATCTCGATACATATTTGATACAGTTCCAGTATACGGTAGACTTTTCGTTGCAGATGAATAATTTGTTGAGGACAACATCGATGGTCCCTAAAAAAAAAGACATATACATTCCAATAATCGTTCATATATTTATCAATTCGTCAGTACAGAATTTATAACAGAGTACATTGAATTGGGATTTGTTTGGTAATTCATAGACGGTAAACCTATTTGATTGCCAGACACACCTTGTGGAGGTAGAGCGAATGATTGAAAGGAATCTGCGGATGATGTATAACGACGATCACCTGAACCACCTCCTGCACTATTACCACCATCGCCTCGGTGCCATGCTCCTTTGAATGCCATGATTACTTACGAAAAGATTAAAATATCAGTTACAATCTAAAAGTAAATTACAGATTGCTGAGGTTAATATTATCATCAGTCGCAGCACTGATCAATATGCCTATGAAACAATAGAAGAGAAGAGGAGAGAAGAGAAGAGAAGATGTAATAAATAAACAAAAACAAACAAGTCATCGTTTTCAATATCTGATTGGTTTAATAAAAACAAACGATAGAGAGCGTTAGTAGTCGTTGATAAGTATATAGAAGCGCCTGTATAGATAAAGAAAGAGATATGTCCTGTTCCCTTCGTTTCTTTTAAAAGCAGAATGGCAAACATTACTATAACGAAGAGTTCATTTGGTAGAACTGAACTTAATCGTGAATGTATGAAGTATGTCGAATGATCATAATCACATAGCAGTAAAACGTAAATTGTTGATTAGATACACTCTTTCGACATCAGATGGTTTTGAAGTTGCTCTGATTGACTATGGTGCTACGATTCAATCGATTCGACAGATTGATAAAAATAACCGGGTCGCTGAAATTACTCTTGGCTATGATAATTTACAAGGTAGATTTGAGTTTGAGAATGGTCTCTGAGTTGTTTTGTCCAATTAGACTATATTGATGATAAGTGTTATTTTGGTTGCACTGTTGGTCGAGTAACTAATCGAATCAAGAACGGCTATTTTCAGTTAGATGGACATGAATATCAGTTAGAAAAAAATGACCATGGAAAACATCATTTACATGGCGTGTTTAACAAACGTCTATGGAAGAGTTCAGTGGAAAATAATGAGACAGTTGTATTTAAATATCTAAGTCCAGATGGTAGTTGTGATTCTAAGATAATCTAAGTATGACCTTGTTGTTTTCAAGGAGAAGATGGTTATCCAGGAGAAGTCGATGTTACTGTGAAGTATACTTTAACGTATGATCATTGTTTAATAATCGATTTTTATGCCACAACTACCAAGCCAACACCTATTAATATGACGAATCATACATATTTTAATCTTGCGGGACATGTATGTATCCGAAGTGATAGTCTCCCGAGGACAGATATACATACACTGAGTTGATTGTTTTGTACTGTTCAATGAGATGACACTACTAATCATTGGAAATATTATTACAAACTTTGACACACTCAATGATACGAGCATATATCTATGCTAATTAAGTAACAGCTAATCCTTGTCTACTTTTATTATCAACATTGACTGGACAATAAAGACATCGACAGATATATGAATCTTTCGAAATACACTGAGAAGGAAGCAATGTCTTTTGTTTTTATTTCGAGGCAAATGTAACAATACTTGACCACGAATTGATGGTAGCAGCCAATCGTTATACTCCACTCGATGCTGAACATATTCCTATTGGTTTGTTGCTTTTTCTTACGAGATGTTTATGAGATACTAAGCAGAGATTATAGGCGAAATTGCATCTGTTGTAAATACTCCAAATGATTTTCGAACATTGGCGCGTATTGGTGATCACATTAACGAAATCCCCTATGCGTATAATGTTATGTATATGGTTGATGGAGATGGAAAGCGATCGTTTGGAAAGTAAATCTTTTGTAATGGAGAACCCCTTGCCCTCTCCAAATGCATTCCGTTCTAGACTTGTTCATCGAGAAAGTGGCCGAGCAATCAGTGTTCAATCGACACAGAAAGGTCTTCAATTCTACACTGGAACATATCTTGATAACATTAAAGGACGCGACAATGTCTCATATCAGAAATATAGTGGTTTGTGTTTAGAAGCTCAAAATTTTACTGATAGTGTTAATAATCAAGTAAATTTATCTCGAGACTAGCTGCAAACTGATTATTTTCATTTTAGCCTCGATTTCCGAGTACAATTCTCCGTCCTGGTGAGATTTATCACGAACAAACGATATTTCACTTTTATTTAGAATAACTTTTATGCTTTAACATATTTTCTAACCTATGCTCATCTTGATTTTGTATGTGATTAATGAGTCAATAAATTATCAAGCTATTTTTAATAATTCGGTTTTTTTGTCATCAGCGTCGACAAAAGAGATAAAAGTAATGCGTCAGAAGTATGAAAGACTCTTGAAATAGTGAAGAAATATACTGAAATGACCTTCATATTAGAGTATTATGCCTTTTTAAAAACATGCTTACATAATAAACTATTGAGATCCAAAAAGCAAATTCAAATAGCATACCATGAGTTTTGTCTAATCATTTATTTCTTTTCAATTTCTAATCCTATAACTATTGGGCAATTTAGTGGAGCTTAAATGTCAAATCGACGATTCGTATTCAAACATTTGATCACACGGTAACTATGTGGTGGTTATAGCCGTTGAATCAGATATTTGTTTCAAAACTGCATCTTTGCATATGTATTCTTCAGATGACATTGATGGTGATCATAACGAGCACGATATCTATGACTATGAAAAAGACTCTTACAAAGAAAATACGAGCTAATATAGCTATTAAAAGAAGCAGAACTGTTCTCTTCGTTTATTTTTACGATGATGGCACGAGTACTTCATAACCTGATGGAAATCCTGATACTATGATATATCATTCTCGTTCTGCTAGTATAATATGAGAGAAGAAACTATAACATTGTTGTTTAAAGCTGCAAGTGAGTACACTTGATGATTTGATATCGTGAAACGAAAGAATAGTAGACCAATACTACAACGACAAACGATAGCATCGGTATTGTGCATACCTTTTATGGCACGATAAAATCACTCTTTTCCATATTTGAATACTGTTTGTAGCAGAAAAATTAGTATTGATAATTCGTAGAAGTTTCAGTGACCAAAATGATTTGGCGATTTATTTTGTCAACTATTTGTACTACTTGTTTGTCGTTAGACATCTTCTCTATGAGTGAAAATCTAAAGCTGAAACATATCTAATATTTTAGATACAACCTCTAATGAAACATTCCCCATCGTTTGTCAATTTACATGATGATTGGTTGATATACATTTTCCCACCCAGTCCTTTACTGTTGTAATTGGTAAAACTACTAAACGATGGTGACTATAGATGGATTTTGATAATTGTTCAATGTAACGCTCACTGTATGAAATAAATTAATTATATGCTCTGATCATGACATTAGTCAAAGATAATACGGCTTCTGTTTAGTAAGCCTATGATGCTACCAACACGGTCTGATCATTCATTCCATCATCTTGTTTATTTTATCTTGATAATGAAGATTGAATTCTTCGAAACGTTGAATAATAATAAATACCAATAGAGAAAACTCTCTATCAATATGTTTTTTGCTGCTGTTAGAATCCTTTTACTTATTTCAAAATGATTGCCCATAAACACACATAACTACTTTGAACTAAAAAAAAGACTATTTCAATCGTTGAAATAAGCCTCATTTTTAGCTCGTTATAATATCATCACTCTTAAATTATCTTCACAAACTTTTTATTCACTTTCAATGGAGTCTAACAAAAATCTTTGTTAATTAACTAGTGAGAATTGACAGAGTTTCGTCTACTTTATTGTATTCCGTTAAAATCTTCATCTTGTTGATTAGCTAGAGTTTCATATAACGATGAATGTATAGTTTAGCATGACGTTATACGTCCCTTTAATATTGCTATACAGGCCACTAAAAGTTTCTGATGATTATATAATGAAACAACTGGAGCAATTAGTAAGAATTATGTTTAGACTTGACCTTAACACCGATATTTTGATTTGAAAACGTCTTGTCACGACGTTAAGATGTTAAACAGAACACCAAGTAACTATGTATGTCTGTCTGTTCTTTTCCTAGTTCCGCTTGATTAATTCTGTTTTCATTGAACCATGACTACAACTATTCGACAAAATATTACCAATAACTTTTCATTCTTGTTTATTATTTACTTTGAAACTCGTATAGCGAATTAAGCCGATTAACAAATCAACAAAACCAATCGAGTATGTATTAAATTTTATGCCCAAATGTTAATCATTGTATTTGTACGTCTTACTCATTACAAAATATTAACAGCTGATTTGTAGCAACACTGACGAATAAGCTACCTAGGTACTTTAAGGTTAAAGGATTAATCATATGAACATTTCATATCTTATCAACGAAAAAAGCCTACGTCTTTTGAAGTATTTTATGATTTTGAAATAAAAAGAGTCGGACAGGAGTATTACTTCGAATACGCTGACAAACAACATATTAAGATAAAAAACGAAATGTATTACTTTTCTTCCTTTCTATCGTTATGTCTTACACGCATCGACATCACTGGCCTGTTATTTTATCTTTACATATAAGAACGCATCTCATTTTTACTTGTTTGTGCTACAATTATTCACTAGACTGAAAGAAATCCATCTCTACTTTTTATCTTGAACTATCTGTAAAAGTAACGCTGTCATTACTAGTTTTTCTTTGATAGTTCTTTACAAACTTGATAAGCTTCTTATCTCCAAGTAAAAGAAATGAGAGCTAATGGTGTTGCATAGTTGGAACGTGGGAAGAAGAAGTTTTAAGAGATAGGAGAATAGTGAGTTGCATTGCGTACATTTTGTAAAATAAAATATCTACTGTTTAGTATCTGTCGTTGAAATGAGTCATGGAATCTTCTTATCACTATTGAAATACACGTCAATGTCCTTCAATTCGTTCTTCTCATGTCGAAGTAGTTTCGAAGTAAATTTCGTCTGTTGTCTCCAATGAAAATAAAGTAAACTGAATATTCTTTGATAGCATTCTATTCGGAGACTACCGTATGATTTTTCTTTACCTGAATATTATTTCTGATCTCTTCAGAAACGAGTTATTTGTCTCTTTCATATCTAGCAGTCAATGTTTGTGTTTAACCAACAAAGCTACATCTACAAATTATGTCTATTAAGCTCTATTTTAATGATAATTACCAGCTTTTTAAATATTATGTATATTCTACGTCATCCTACTACACACGTAAACGGCGAACATGATAAACAGAAATTATCGGCAACTGCCAAGCCGGAAGATTCGCCATCAACGACCAAATTAATGAAAATCCCTAATAATCAATCTGTTATTTTTCAAGCAGCGTTCAAAAAACTCTTAGATTCTTTTAATGAAAAGTACATTTCAACAATGCATCAACACAATTCAACAAATTTACTTTGTCCGTCAATACCGCCAGATTTACAAGGGCCTTTGATTATAAAAGGATTACCGAAAAATTTTACTCTTCTTAAAGAATCCTCATATCACTCTGAAGTGCAGTCGGGTGGACGACATCAGCCAAAAACATGCTTACCACGTCATAAAGTAGCTATCATTGTGCCGTATCGTAATCGTTGGGAAATTTTGGAACAATTTCTGTTTCATACACACACATTCTTACAACGACAACAATTAGATTATCGAATATTCGTTTGTGAGCAAGCATACGATAAGACCTTTAATAAAGGTATTGTTATGAATGGATGTTTCAAAGAAATTCTCAAATTAGAACCGAATACGCAATGTTTTATAATGCATGATGTCGATTTATTGCTAATCGACGATCGAAATATGTATTCATGTCCAATAAATCCACGTCATCTGAGTGTTGCTGTTGATAAATTTCAATTCTATTTACCATATCCCGAATTAGTAGGTGGTGTTCTAGGTAATTGATTTGAATTGCTTTACTTTCGTATCTAAAAATGAATTTGAATAGGAATATGATTATTCGAACAGAAATAGACATACAGCTAGCTCAGTAAAGACGAAACTTTTTCTCTTTGTCAAGAAAGAAAATGTAAAGAATTTGTTTTCATATTTCACATTTCTCTTTTATTTCAAGACTATGTGTACTATTTCTTATTTTCTAGCGATGCGTCGTGAGCATTACCTATTGGTCAATGGCTATTCAACGAATTATTGGGGCTGGGGTGGTGAAGATGATGATATGCACAAACGTATCGTTAAAAAGAAACTAATACTTGATCGACCACCGACAGCTATTGCACGATATAAGATGTTGAAGCATAGTCATCAGAAATTGAATCCAGCTCGGATGAAAGTCCTGCGTACAGCTAATAATCGAATCGATTCCGACGGTGTTAATAATGTAATATATAAATTNAGTGACATCCGACTTTTGAACGAATTAATTTTTCTTGGAAAAATACCTGAGGGGTACCCCAGGGAAATCTGATGAAAAACAAAAGATTCAAAAGCCAACTAAAACACACTATTTCTAGGTCAGTTTTTTGTGCTGATTCCGATTCTGACACTTTTAAAACTTAAAAGTGAATGGCAGGATTCGATGATCGCCTCACAAGCTCGAATCTGTGAGTGATCCTTTGAACTCGAGTGTTTGGATATTCTGGATATCATTTTAGAACTAGGAGAAAATATCAAATATGCCATTTTGTAGAGCAAATCAAGCTCTATTGATGGCTGTATGACTTAGTTGAAAAAGTGAAAACAGTTGAGAAAAAATCTATAAATATAAACAGGACGTGATATTAATTTTTTGCCAAAATTGGTACTCGTGGTCAATCTTCAAGTTGATCCTCTGCACCACTAGAACAGTTTATATGAACGCCGAGCACATGGTTCGATGCAGAATCAAAAGGGCTATACGCTGGTGTGTGGACATTTTTGGCAATCGATTTTTCTCTATAGTATTTGAACGAAATACTGTGAATTAGCCGACTTTTGAAAACACTAAAACCAAAAGTATTTCCATTTTTTTGCCTCAGTTTTGACTCAAACAAAAAATGTCACATAGGCAGTTTTGTAGAGCAAGTCAAGCTCTATCGATCGCTATATGACTCAATTTGGATGAAGCAAGCGATCTATGAAAAAAAATTAAAATACAAAAAAACTCGGTTTTAGTCATTTTTCAGATATTTTTTTTCGGTGAAATCGTTCGGTATACCCTATCTTCCTTATAATAAATCTTTAGGCCGTAATATTCTGGATTCATATATAGGTCAATGTTACCTAACTTCCTAGGGGGTCAAATCCAAAATCGGTTGACCCCCATGTTTTGGCAAAGTTCGATTTTTTCATGGACCGTCTCTTAAAGATGTTTGTTATATTCTTATTTTTTGCCGATGACACTGCAATTCAATTCGTCAGTATTATCACCACAATGATTGTGCTTATTGCATGCCAGCGATTTCGAAATACAGTTTTTGTTTTTGCAGAGAAAAACGTTAAGACTTTGAGGACATCCGGGAATGGCTAGAAAAGCAAAGAAAAACAGGTCGATTGATGAATGAAACCTTATCACAGATGCTTTACTAGTGAAATGAAGGGCAATGGCAACTTGAAAACTGGCTGTTTTTGTTGTTTTACCAGTTTTGAACGTAAACGTTGCAAGTGTATTCGCGGTCTAAAACATTATATTGAACTTAATAATCGTTCATACTGAATATCATACGGTGAATGTAAACGTTGCAGGTGCACCACACTGTTGTTTGATATCTTTATTGAGCAATGTCGAACCATCAAGAATCTGCAATGTATCACCTGGGCAATCAGCAATATTCATTTGTTCAACGACAATAACCAATCGTTGTGTTGGCTGAGCTGTACGAAATTTGATCGAACAGCTGAAATTTGGTTGAAACTTATTGATATTGGACAATTGAAATGTTAAACCAGGCTTTATATTACCATCGAGAACAATGGCATCACTACCGCAGATTTTATCCATCAGAACTACATTTGTCATAGAGAAAAGAGAAAGTTTTCCAAAGAAGTAGTCTCACTTTTATCAGCAGCGTTTAGAATGTTGATGTTAACGAATAAGAGCAGTGCGACGAAATTTGAAAACATATTCATCATTACTTTTCAAAACTTTGTTTTTGTGAAGAAATACTAATGCGATCTTTACTTCGTATTTCACTTATATATACTAGGCACTAGCTTAAGATCGATTCTTTTTGCTCTCGAAACAAAAAATATGATATTTTGATCAAATCAAGCTTTTTAGATAAGGCCGTCGAGTGAAATGCGATCTATGAAAACTAATGACGAAGTGGATCAAAAATAGTATATCCAGATTAGACAAGACAGTATTTTGTTTGCAGAATTGAATGATTTATTACGAAAATATTTGCATACACTCTATTCGACAAGAACAAAACGAAACTCAATAAATAAAAACTCCTCGAGCTGGAAAAATGTCTATACAACATACACTTTCATATCCGCATCGAGGTATTGCCGTTGTTTGTTGTGTTTCATTGCTCTTGATGAATATAGTAAATATTTCAATTCAATACGTTTGATAATCGTTGATGGATGAATGTGACTTCGTCGATGATGATGTATCCGAGTTTGTTTTTCGTAGGTTACTGTCGGCGACTTTTGATTCGATGTAATTGCTGAAATTGATAATTCGAATTGTTTATAGGATATATTTGACATTGATAAAGTTGAAGATAATGGCTGACAATTCGACGATTTGCTCATTCGTTTAGGTGTTGATGTTAATGGGATATGAATTTGAAATGAATCAAGACTTGGAAGTAATGAAGATCCGTCGTTTGTCATTTTGTTGTTTAATGTTATGATAATGTATTGAAAAGAGAAGCGAGTGTATATTTATAAAGAGAACAAAAACAATGCTCATATTGTCTATGTGAACACTAATTGGAGAGAAGAAAGAAAGAGCAAATTGACTTCCTTATCGAGTAAACATTCACAAGTAATTGTTAAACGGTGGCAGATAGGATAAAAATGAAAATAAAACAAATACAGGAATTAATTATGGAATTGAACTCAACTGAAAGTACTTGAATGATTTTCTCATCTCTTTGAACACGACTTTCATTCAAAGAATTGAATTATTTTATTGAAAATCTACTAAAGATAAACTTTCATCCTGGTTTTATGATGCCATATTTGAATGAAAGGTGTGAATTGTAAAGCAAAACAAGGACACGTGCCGTATCCGATACGTTCAAATAAAGACAAAACATTGAGCAGACAGCAATTAATTATACGGTATATATAAAGGTGCTAATAAGCGTGAAGACAAATTTTCATTTGAGAGAAATTTATTTAAGGAGATCTGTTCTAAAATACAATCGAACAAAAATAAAAAAAAGAATTATTGAGTTTCTAAATGTCCCATGATTGTTTATGGTGTTGTCGATGATGACGATGATGATGCGATTCGGTTTTGGGTCGGTAGAGAAGTGAATCGAGTTTGATCATTGGTCGACATAATTTGTCACCGACAATATCTGGTTGATAATTATCTTTGATAAGATTAGAGAAAGTCTTGGGTGTTGATGAGCGAGGTAATGGCGTTAAAGTTCGTTTTTTCGGTGTGCTTGTTTGAAATAACATTTTGTCTTTTCTTGTATGAAGATATTCAAGTAATCAGTTTGCTAATCTTCCTGGAAATGACTTCTTTTTTCCTCTCGTTTATCAATATCAATGAAGGAGAAGAAAGAGAGAGAGAGAGAGAAAGGGGGAGAAAGTGATTACATACTTTTCGTTATCAACGGATAATTGAGTGAGAGAAAAAGAATATCTAATCGTTTTGATTCACATTTAAGTGATGACCATACATAGTGCAAGCTGCGTGCTGTTGGGAAATTTGTTCTACTAGTGAGCAGATTTTTTCTCATTCACTACTATCCGAATATTCTGATAAATAGATTGACAATCGCATAGATTTTGTTCTACGTTTGTCTTTTCGTCGAAAATTGATGTGATGCTGATTAGGCGTGAAACAAGCCTTTTCGCACACAGCTCCATCCGGTGTATGAAATTGTGTCATAATCGAACAGAACGAGCAGCTGGATCAATCGATCTTGCATATCACTATGCAAGAATATATGTTCTTTATCAATGATGAACTAAAACGTATGACAATCAACTAATGAATATACACAGGTAGGAGATATGCGATAAGAGCAAATTACACACACACGTACAAATACATAAAATATAGAAAACATAATGGATTTGTGACTAGATTTTGATAAAAGAAAACGTTTGGTTTTTCTTAACGGGAACCGCCACCTAATAAGTGTCTTTCATTGATTCCGCTAATACTGCTACTACCACCCATCGACGCAGTTTCCAATGGAGTTCGTACGACAATGGAAAGTCGGCCCGATTTTAATGACGGTGGCTAAAAAAAGAACAAGATTAGAATCGTTCTGTTTTGTCGTGAAAATGAAAATGTTTAAATATAAGTGATAGCTAGATAAAGATAAAGTAAATAATTGAAATAAGAAAAGCAGACAATAGGACAAGAGGCAATAGGAAAACGATCAATTGTATGAAAAAAATCAAATCAAGCGGTAATTCATTATTCAAGCAAATGAATAGACTAGATATGTGTAATAATGAGAGAGATAATTAAAGGTTGAAGACATCATACAAACAAACATGGTTAGTTTATTATTTATGAAATGATTTTATTATGCGAAAATCAAATGATCTAGTGTAAGAATGTGCCAATAGGAAAGAAAAACAAGGTTGATGCAGGCAGAGTAAAATGAATGAAAGATAGAGAGTAAATGTGTATGTGTGTATGTATATATATATATAAATATATGTGGATATAATCGTGAATAGTTTATTACTGATATCTGCGCGCAATGTATTTTTTTTACATTAATATTTTTTGGATAACTAAAAACAAAACAACAACAACAACAAACAAAGAAGAAGAAGATGATGATGATGTTGAGAATGAATAGAAATAGAGAAAGGAGAGGGGGGGACTTTGAGATGATATTCACATGACTATTACTACCATCAGTACAACCATTCTTTTAGTTTTGATATGGTTGTATGTATGTGTGTGCAGTCTTATGTATAGTTGTCAATAAAAGGCATGTGGAAAAACAACGTAGAGAATATGATTGGAATGCATTGAAGTTTTTTAGTTGGAAGAATGAGAATCAAATCAAATCTTTTTTCTCACGTCGAATTCATGACTTACCTTCTTCTTTCCACCTAAGAGTAATTCTTTATAAGCTTCGGATCGTAAGAATCGAGCGTATGTATCACGATTCATTAGGTTGAAAATGTGATCCTATGGAAACATCAGACAGATCAATTTCAACGAAAATCTTCATAAGATTTAAAAACAAACCTGAGCTTCGTCGAATGTGTAACGGCTAGGAGAATGTGTCATATTATTTTTCGTTAGATTCATCACACGTTGATCAATATTAATCGAATAATAAGCACCTTAAGACGAAATTAAACTCCGTTCATGCAAAAGATTTCAATCTACCTGGGGAGAGAAATTCGTTATAAATTTCATGCACTCGATTATGAACATCTTGCTGTGGTGTATGACATCGAAGCTGGATACAGGCTTCATAGAATCTTAAATTTTCACTGGAATATTCTTTGTCAAGAAATCTCCAGAAATGATCGCGACCGATTGGATCTTTCAGTAATTCGTTGATTGAGAATCCCCATCGTTTAACACGCCGTGACGAAATCTCTTTGGCATTGCCCATCTTTTCCAATTCCCACAAGTCAGTTGAATCAGTTATCCCTACAATAGAAATTGATTTTCTGTAAATGAAACTTTTCAGTGTACGTAATGATTGACGTAACTCAAAGATCATGTTACGTGAGTCTGATCGCATTTCTGACGTACTCAAACGAGAAATGTTTTCTTTTTTGATAAGAAAAAGTCAGGAGAATTTTAATTATAAGGTTATAAAAATATATTCGTTTTATCAACGAATAAGAGATGAAAAAGGAGTACTTACAAGGATTGGATGGCTCGCAAGGTGTTAGGAATGGGTCGAATTCTGCATACTGTTCGAAATAAGACACGTAACTTTCGCAGACTTTCGACGTTTTCAAACATCTTCGATCCAGGCGATGTTTGAGGAATTCGATTTCCTGACACAGCTGGTCAATCAGTGCAGTTTCATCGCACTCACGCAGCATTCCTATTCGATTCAATGACGAGTGTGAGTCTTGATTTGGTGATGTAGGTCCTGCCGACAATAGTCCGACAGTCATTGTCATAAGGTTCTTGTTGGCAGCTAATGCTAAGGCTGATGCAGTTCCAGTGTTTGATGCAGATGTCGACGACGTTTTCCTTAGATTACTTGATAATGCATGTGATGAGAGAATCGGTGCTTTACGTCGCATTAATTTCTTGATATCTTGCTCGCTCATGTTGAAACAACCAGGTGCAGGACGATAAACATCCCAAAAAGCTCGTTCTTGCGAATCGAGAACATTTCGTTCGACTTTATCACGTTTTTTATCCACTCTAATCACAGGCATGTCGTAGAGAGTATTCAGTACACGGAAAACAATCTCCTACTTGATTTGTGCTTCAGCTTGCATGTAAATAAATTCCCATTTTCTAGCAAAAAGCTTCTGTAATCGAGCCAAGTTTTCCGCTTCGTAATCAGCTAATTCCAAGCGAGTCTTATTTTGCATTGTTCGTTTACACAAATAAACAGCTAAGAAAAAGAAAGAACAGCGATGTGTAGTAGAGTTAATCAGGTGAGAAACGAGAGCGAAACAGAAAAAAAGAGAAAATGAGTTAATAGTGAATGTTAGGGATTAGTCTTAGCAGCAAAATATTCTACCTCGTTTCAATTAATTCAGTCGTTTCTAATTATGCAGACAAAGAAATGATAGGTAAGAAAATCAACAGTTATTAAAAAAAACAACGATTATTACCGTAATCAATGTTATCGGGTTCGCCGTGATTCGATGGCCAAAAGTATGGTGTCTAAAAAAGAACATATTGGCTTATCTTCTCATCTGAGAACGTCGGATGTACCTGAAAACGGTAGAATGTTCCATCATTTTTTATCGTCAAAACATGATCCTCGATGGGTAAAATCTATGACGGAGAAAGATGAGTTTTAATTTGGGAAAAAAGTCGATAAGAGCCTTACATAACCATAAGATGACATCAGATTAGCGAGATGAAGTGCTTCAGCTAAAATGGTAATTCTAGGTTGTTTTTCTTCCCTGGCAAATTGTCGATACGTTCATACCTGTATCATCAACATCGAGTGTTTTTAAAATCCATTGAATTAAATCACCACCGGTGAATACACTCGGAATCTTCGACATAAAACTTTTAACAGATTTTATTGGCAGACCAGAATTTTCGTCTTGCATTGTTTCGAGCAATGCTTCAATCTGCACAAAAACAAACAACGACTTTTGTTGGACAGAACAAACGAGTGATGATTTTACCTTTTTATACGTGAATAAATTTGGAATTTCATATTCACGATTGATTCCTTCAATGAGACCCGTACTTGAATTTAACAGAAAATCATTTTGAGTATAGCCACTTCCACCTAATGTTCCACCTGAATCATCCAACATGATATGATCATCGGGATCATGTTGAGTGAGTGAAAGTTTGCCTTTCGATGCATCCATGCGAACCATTTCTAAAGGTGAATGTTCGCCAATCGAATCGTCGTCAGTAAAAGACGCGCGAGTGATAGCGGCCATTCAGTGATAACCAGTGGCAAGCACGAGCATCACATTATCTAGAATAGAGAAGAAGAAACTGACAAAATCTGCTGATAGGAAAATGTTGAAAGCAGGAGTAATGTAAATATTCATGACACTAACAAGAAGAGAAAAAGAACTATAACAAGAACAACAGTTAACATCGATCAAAGAGAAAACTGAAGGATACAAAGTTCGTCCGTTCGTTCATTTTGCTTAGTGAATTGATATTGTTACTACAATCTGACTCGCTCGATATTTCATTCTTTTTAAGTTGATGTGTTCTTGTGCTCTAATTTACCACTGGTGCTAAACGATTGACGAAAGCTATTGCATTATAACAAAGTCGAGCGATGAATGGTGGGCAATTGGGCCGACTGCATAGATGCTCAACAGTTTGACGAAGTTCATAAAATAATGTGCGCGTGTATGGATTGCGATGTGATGCGTAGCGTAATGTTAAAAATCGATAATACATAAAGATCAATAGGAAATTTGAACGTGCAACAAAAATCGAGAGAATCAATAATGGCATAAGAATAATTTCATTTAATGCAACAAAACGAAGTAAATTGGCATGATTTTCTGTTATGCGATCAAGTTTAGGCTTAATGAATGGATAACTTGTTAAAATTTGTGCTAAAAATGAACATGAATGTAAGACAGCGTATGTTGAAATAGGTATGAGCACGATTGTCATCGCTGAGCCACTCAGAAATAGAAATGAATACATTAAATAATGTGCACTATCTTCACGGATTACATTAGCAAAGAATTCACGCGATAATTGAAATCCTGGAATTCGTTGTCGTAAGCGTAAGGCTGATGTGACAGCCGAGGCAAGCAACGCTTTCGTATAGTAAACATTTGCGTCCGCACTTGTACGAGCAAATGGTAAGATATACATTAATGTAAAGAATATTGTTGCTAAACGCGATAATAGTAAGACTGCATCCGTTTTTCGTTCTAATAAAACATTGATCAACGATGGAGATGACGGTGTTGAACGTGGAGGAGTTTGAGTTGTACTTCTCGGAGGTGGAGAAGTTGAATTAGATGTACTATCATTATTAGAATTTGCATTTGATGATGCATTGGATGTAACGTCTTCAACAAGAACCATATTTGTTTATTATTATTCGATATGAATGTGTACTTTCTATTCAGATCTTGAGTAGTGAATATTGGAGAGATGTTTCTGACGAGTCAACCATTTGACAGCACCAAAACCTCCGTCAAGGAAATGTGTTTATATATAGTAACATGAGAAATATATGCTCGAAAAGCAATGACATTGGAAAAATTAAGTTAATGTTTCGTTTTATTTGACTGATATCCCTCGATTCTTTCGTCAATTCCAGATTATCTTTTTTTAAAATCAATTAGCACTACTAGCGCCAATTGATTCTCATTGGTCGGTTTGATCTAGTAAACGAAACCGATCTATAGAGAATCTTGTCTTGTATACTATAATGTTATTTTTCTCTTTACATTTAACAATCAATGAAGCAAATCGATCCTAAATCTCATCTATGTTCGATATGTAATAAATCATTTGCAAGACCAAGTAAACTTCAATATCACATCGCTTTTCATCATGAGAAAAAGGTAACGGAGATAACTATTTGAAAGACAATCACAAAATGATCTCTTTTTGTCGAGTAGTTCTCGTTCGAATGTTCTGAATGTGGTAAACCATATTCCAATCAAGATCATGTGAATCGTCATTATCGTAATGTTCATCAAAAAGAAAATACGAGAAGAAAGAAGTATGTCATTCTACTTTGTAATATCTTTGTATAGTTCTTATTAACGATTCAGATTTACTTGTGCTGTCAATGATTGCGCGAAAGTGTTTGCTAATAAACAGAACCTTGATAGACATGTTAGAATCGCCCATGCAACAACCAAATCGAAGCCTGTTCGAGTAAAGAAAAAAGGCGATTTATGCGAAAAACCAATCACATTCGTTTTTCTAGTGTTTTTACTGTTCGGAATTTGTTGAATCATTAGAATCACATTTAATCGCAGAACATAATTCAATATCTCCAGATAAATTCAAGTACGTACTTCATATTACAAAGATCTCCATTCGTAACTTGCCAATGATTTAGATGTATAGACTGCTCGAAGATCTTCCTATCGATAAAGCGTTTGATGCATCATCGAATTATTCATACAGGTATGATGCATGATTGGAAAGGATAGTGCAGCAAAGAAACCTGTTGCTATTTTCTAATTTGATTTAGATCATCCATTGGCCTTTGCGCGTTTTATACGGTTAGTAGAGGGTCGGGTGACCACCTTTGAAGACCGTCAATGGATGAATGTGATACTGACATTATAAGACACATTTATCTAATATTTAGATGAACGTCGTGAACTCGATGTTCAATGGACAATGAATCGATTATTGGATGGTGTCGAGCGGATGCAAAGTAAGCCAAAGGTGATTTTTTGTTGTTGATTGAAATGATGTTTTACTGTAGTATTCCAATGTGATCTATGTCAGCGAATGTTTCGTTCATTATTTCAACTGGATCAACATCGTCATAGCAAAATTCATCAAGAACAGTTCACTTGTCAGTATGACAATTGTAGACGAACATTTTCCTATATGAGGAATCTTCAGCATCACATCAGGTAGATATTTTCACGGAAGAGATGGAAAAAAAGAAACTTTCGATTTCTTTTCAAGAACTCATCATGAGAATCTCTCGCGTTTACCCTGTCCAATGAAATCTTGTTCAAAGACATTTACTTGCCAAGCATCGATCTGTCGACATCTAAGTCGATGTCATTCATCCGATGATGTTCTCGAACAAATCAATGCGAAACAAAAACAATCTACTTCTCGACAACAAGAAATTCGACGATTTTTAAGCGGTTTTAATGATCGAAAACTGAAGCAAGAGAATGAAATTTGCCAACAAACGAAACATTTGTTAAATCTTTTATTAACCGAGGATAATCTCGTACAAACGCCAGATGATCGTATGGAGTTTTCATCGAATGAGAAATCATTTGATCCGAATTTGTTACAGGCTTATAATGAGATCGGACTTGTTGAATTGTGATAATTTAATTGTTTGTTTGTTTGTTTTTTGTTATTTCGTTTTCGTTGCAATCGGTGATTTTACGATTAAAATTTTCTTCTAACGTTTTTATAGATATAAAGAAATACATATCAGTTTTTAAAAAGAAGAGCAACTACATTGCTGGAGAAACGATGGCAGAAGCGAAATCAGTAAGTGTTTACAATTCTAACCAAAGGAAAAGAGCGTTTTTATGCAGTAATTAGAACTTAATATCCGTTTCGGAAATCGGATATGGGTTGTAAACTAATTTCTAACACTAATCAAAGGTTGGCTTTCCTGAAGATAAATGTTGTATTGATTGAAGTTTGTTTTGTTTTCGGACTCGTTTTTGGAAAGAAAAGAAAGACAATAAGATTAGTCAATCCAACTTGAAGTAATACAAGCGTGGCAGTTGTTCTCATTCAAAATATTCTTGTAGAGATCCTCAGTATGTTTTTTTGTCTCCTTTACGAGAGAAGGAAATGCTTTCGTTAAATGCTTCATCACTAATCGTGCGTTCGACCTCCTCCCCTTTTCTTCAGATGATATCAGACGACATGATGACCTTACCACAATTGCCACCAGGCACCGAACCACTTGTACATCAAGTTGCTGGGCACTTTTACGGACGATCCAAGACCAAATTTGGTTTATTACAACGTTGTTCAAATGGCAATGTTCTCAAACCATTGCTTAACCCACCACGTGGTCCGCGTGAACATAAATTCTACACTCATATATTCTCTGCAAACGCCTCTTCTGAACTTCGTGCATTACAACCATTTCTTCCTCAATTACTAGGAACATACGAATTCGATGGCATGACTTATCTAGAGTTGGAGAATGCCATTCGACCATACCAATGTCCATGTGTCATTGACATCAAACTTGGCCGAATCACTTACGATCAAGAAGCAACACCGGAGAAAATCGAACGACAAATAGCAAAATTTGAACCAGCTGCTGAAATTGGTTTTCAATTACTCGGCTGGAAATCTTATCAGCAATCCGATAACTCGTATATTTATCACGATAAAAAATGCTCGCGATCATTGACAAAAGACGAAGTTCTCCATGGTCTGGCACATTTTTTCGGTGCCCCGGAACGTAATATTCGTGGAATAGTCCACAAAGTACTCGATCGATTATATGACCTTGAACGAATCATGGTCAAACAATTTGAATTTGTTTTTATTGCCTCCTCGCTATTGATAATCTACGAGGGAAAAGCGCAAGACAGCGAGGCGAAAGCTGATGTGCGTCTTGTGGATTTCGCCCATGTCTTTCCATCATCGTCTAAAAATGAACCCGATGAAAACTTCCTTTTTGGACTTCGTCATTGTATAAAATATCTAAAAATGCTACTGGATGAAAACTTTCATTATACTACGATCGCTAAACTAGATCATGAAACTAATTCACCCTCATCAACTTGTACGAAAATTTTCTTAGACAAATAGTCTGAATTGTCATGCGGATGTTTTCATTTTTAAAAGTCTATTAATATTTTTGTTCGAACAGTAAAGCTTTTCTGTTGAAAATAAATTGAAAAACAAAAAACAGAACAGTTTCCTATTTCTAATTCTATTTGTTTTTCTTTTTGCAGACGCACAAAGTCGAATATCCAGCTGACTATGATTTGGAAGAACAACAGAAGAAGCCGCATGCGGCATGCGATTTACTTCGATATGATTTGAAAATGTGTTTATTAGCGAGTGACTGCTGTAAAGTAGGAGAATTTTGCTGAAAATATTAACAAAATGTTCTTTGTTTGTTCAAAGCTCGGGCACACACCGAAAGAATGTTTATCTAACGAAAAATTACGAGAATTTGTTCCAGAAGAATGTCGACGTTTAGCTTACACGTTCTTCGAATGCAAACGATCAATGGTAATGTCAATAATTCGTTCAATAATTAGTTTTCATATGTTTTCATTTAGATCGACATGCGTGCACGATTTCGCGGTCGTAAAGGCGAAATATATTAGTTATTGAACATGAACTTTCTTTTCTTTGTCTTTTCTTTTGTACTGTTCATTTTGATTTCCTTGTCATAAAAGCGATCCTTGATATGCTTTCAGATCGAAAGTCTGCATTATGCTTGCTCAACGTTTTCCGAGTATCATTCTACGACGATATGCATCAACTGATATTTCTGAACTCTATAGAGGACTTGTCAATGGCGATCGAGGTTGCCTAGCCAGAAGTATCACTTTAGTAGAATCAACACATGCAGAAAAGCAGCATAAAGCAAAGGAATTGTTAAGTCAAGTTCTACAAGGATTGAAACAACGACAAGAGAAACAAGGAAATGTACCAATCAGTTTTCGAATAGGTTTGAAATGAGAAACTAATTGATGTTTAAGAAGGAGTGACATGTGTGTGATTGTTTAGGGTTGTCCGGTAGCCCTGGCGCTGGTAAATGGTAAAACTTAACTTTAGTCTCATTTTCCAGATACGACTCTAAAATTATTCGCTTCTTTTTCAATCGTTTAACGAGATGATTAATTGGAATTTATGTAGGTAAATCGACGTTTATCAACGTGTTCGGTCGGCATCTGATAAGCCAAGGACATAAAGTAGCCGTATTAACAGTTGATCCATCATCGTCTACGACTGGAGGTAACGAACTCTTTATATCCAATATTTTCTATTTGAAAATTTAGGATCGATCCTTGGTGATAAAACACGAATGTTGGAATTGTCACGCGAACCCAATGCATATATTCGAACATCACCATCTGCTGGTACATTAGGTGGTGTAACTCGTACAACTAACGATGCGATCGTTCTGTGTGAAGCTGCGGGTTATAACAGTATTCTTGTAGAAACTGTCGGTAAGATTGAAAACTTCGGCTTTACTTTCCTGTTTACAGAAAAATTCTCTTTCTTGTAGGCGTTGGCCAATCTGAATTTGCTGTCGTGGACATGGTAGATATGTTTTGTGTCTTACTACCACCTGGCTCGGGTGACGAGCTGCAAGGTAAACTCAATGTTATATGTTTTGTTTGCACTTTAAGTGTGTTTAGGCATGAAAAAGGGAATTATGGAACTAGTTGATCTGATCATAATCACAAAGGCGGATGGGGAACTGATGCAGGAAGTTCGTCGTTTGAAAACGGAATGGTCTAGTGCTCTTCGACTGATGCGACGCCGATCCAGCAATTGGACACCGAAAGTAAGCATCTCCATCGCGTTTTCGATCCTATTATGATTATTTCCAAAAGGTTTTATCCGTCTCTTCTCGTACAAATGAAGGCATCGATAAAGCTTGGTCGCAAATGTTTGCTTTCGAAAATGCGATGAAAGATTCCGGCGAATTTATGGATAAACGTGCTAATCAACTTCGGAAATGGATGTGGAACAACGTCAAAGATCGAATGCTAGATCAGTTCTTAGCCGACGAGGAAATTCAATCAGCTATACATTCGTACGAACAGCGCGTTATTCGTGGGCTCATAACACCATTTCTTGCTGCAGATGCAATTTTATCCTTATTTTCCAAAACGAAGCCGAATCAAACAAGATAACTCTATATTTACTTTTGAAATGAAAGTTGGGATGGTAGTTTTTAGACGTAATTACGATTGAATGAATAAAATTTCACTATGAGAGAAGATACAAATTCTCGGTCTGATTCTTATCCGAAGCAAAGTTGAATGTGAAGAATATGAACCACATCTGAAACTACATGGATTTATATTTCTTGATATCACAGCTCAAATTCTGTTTATTTATCCTTGATCGGTCAATACTTGAATAACAAGTGCAAAAACATCATATACTGATGTACTTCTATAGACACATCCAGAAATATATGTTTACGCGTATTTACAATATGGAAAGGCTGTGCTTTCAGTACAACTGGAAATAAGAGGTTTTTTTCGAACATAAAATTTCTATTTTGAACCAGAATAACCATCTGTTTTCCAATGTTTCCCTGGCTGAAACACGTGATTGGTAATTCAATATACAGATTAATCAGACGATATAAAATCTTTTTTTTCTCATGCGCATTTCCCATTCTTTTTCGAATCAATTTTTCTCGTCGGCTGTCTAGTACTTCGTCCCGTACTATTCTACCATTTTCTTTTTCCGTTCTGTTGCAAATCCAGGGTTTGTCTATCATGATAATAGACGACTCTGCATATGCAGACGGTGCAACAATGTACAGTAGTAGTGTCTACTATACTCTCTTTTTCGTTATTAATGTCTGTCCAGTCAGAATATCAGCTACGAAATGGACGAGAGAAAACGTGTCCATATCTTTCTCTCTCTCTTGTCTCACTATTTATTTAGCACTGCTTGTCGACGACGTGATTAGTAGTCGATCTTTCTCCTTTTCTTTTAACTTTTAACCTATTTGTGTGTGTGTGTGAGTGTGTAAACTAACAACTACAATGATCTCAAAAGAAAATGTAAGCACAGGATTACTTTTTATGATGAAATTTTCCTATTATGTTCTTCATTAGGCTTTTACCATGGGAGGGAATTATCCATCAATTGATCGTCCCTTTAATACATCTCTAGCATTAGGTAATTTACTCGATGATACTTTACCGAATTCGACAGATTATGAACATCATCAACAACGATCAATGCTAATGATGAATGGAACAAATAATTTACCGCAATGGTCCATGCCACACATGAATTTTACACCAACTCCTCTTGTCAAGTACGAAATTACCCGAATCTTTCGTGTAGAAACGAGAAGTTCCGTTTGTTTAGTATGTGTTCGGATGAAAAATTACTTCAATTTTTAATGAGTAAAGATTTTACCGCACGATATGCTGCTGATGATGATCAGTACGAAGAAGATCGATATTTACAAGAAAGACATCAGAATCTCCCACCTCCAACATCATTAATCGAACAAATGGTTTGTTATTTCCGATTTTTCAACTGATATGATCGAACGAATTTTTTCTTTTCAGCAATGTATTACAATTGATAACGATGATAATCGATTGAAAATAGCGGCGGCAAATGAACGTCGTCAAGCTACCCGTAAGACCTCCCAGTCTGTAGACATAGTTTCTCTTTCATCGACATGTTTAGGTCATTTTGGAAAAGTCAGTCAGAATATGTGTTGGTGTGCGCCGTTACCTGTTAAACCACGTGCTTACTCAATTAATCCTCCTTCACTTTCGAATAAAATATTTCTCGGTGGCATTCCGCATGATCTTAATGAACGTAAGTGACGAATTTTCGTGTGCTTTTTCTCATGTGTAAATGCGTTTTTGATTTCATTAGGTGAGTTAGCTACTCGTCTTAGTCAATTCGGCTCTGTTCGTATCGAATGGCCAGCTGAAAATAATCGTACTCGTCGTCGAACTAATCACGGTAGATTCTTCTGCAATATCTCATATATTCGTACGTTGAATCTTTCTGTTTAGGCAAATCCGGTTATGCTTATGCAATATTTGATAAAGAATCGTCTGTACATGAATTACTTTTAGCTTGTTGTCAACAACCACAACGTAATTCGGATGGTCGTTGTGAATATTATCTTAATCTTAATAGTCAACGATCAGCTTCGAAACGTAAAAGTGTAAGTTCACTCAGTAAAGAGCAAGAATTATCATTAAGATAAACATTTTCCATTCTAGATCCAACTCATTCCATGGTTTGTAAGTATTTCGATAGACTTTGACGGCAAGCAATCCTAGTCATTCTTTCTTTACAGACGGAAGATGCACAATGGATGTCATCGAATCGACATGATGCAGCTATGTGTGACCTACTCAAAGACGATCCATATAAGACGACTGTCTTTGTTGGAGCTTTGCATGGTAATCCATTGCGTATGCGTCAATGTAAACTAAAAAGAAAGTTCTCATTTCAGGTATGATGACCGCATATGCACTTGCTCGAATTTTTTCGAAACTATTTGGTGAAGTTGATTTTGCGGCTATTGACACTGATCGAAATAAATATCCGATTGGTAATCATCTTTTTCACTCCTATTTGCCTTGCATTAAAAATTGATTCGAATGTCTACATAGGCTCGGGCCGGGTGATCTTTACGAGTATCCATAGCTATTTTAGTGCTATGACGGTAAGCGGATGCTACGCAAAAAAACCTGATTATTCAACAGTTCTCTTTCTCTGATTCTAGGCAAACTATGTGTTTATTGATTGTGAGCGATTCTCTAAAGTAGTAAGTGAATTGAGTTTTAACTCTATGGAAGGAGAAGATGAAATCTGATATTCTCAAATTTCCATTTGACTTTTATCTCTCTTAGATTCAACTTGATCCCTATTTGGTTGATGCTCAAACTTGCAGCGGAGCGAACGGTCAATCATGTACTCAATTAGGCAAATATTTCTGTCGTTCACTCGCCTGTTGGAAGTATTTCTGTGACAAATGTTGGACGAAAGCACACACGGGTATAAACAGTCAACAACCGTTAACTGAGGCACTCGCGCATAAACCTCTCATGCGTAATGCTAGTGTCTCCTGATTGGTTTTCTTCTACTGTTATTTGAAAAAAAAAGTTATGCATCTCTGGTTTGTTTGTTTTCTTTTCCTTTGTGTTTGAGATGCATTTCATGTTCGTCTATATCTCTGTTCAATGGTTGAATTGTTTGTGTTCGTTTTTTCTTTTTCTTTTTCTTGTTGCGCTGTACCGGTGATCCGCTCTGCTGACGCTGGGGCTTTGTCATGTGCCGTGTGATCAATTTTTCTTGCGCTCCTTTTTTTTTCTCTTTCTCTATATGTATGTTTTTTCTATTACTGTCCTTTTTTTTTTGTTATTTGTTATTGATAGTGTTTTCCGTGCATATTCGAGATATTGTACTTTGAAAAAAGAGAGAAGAGAGATACAATTATCGAATATACTTGCCTGGGCCAATGATCCTCTTACTTTATTCTTGTGATGCTCTTCGGATTCTTACATAATGAGAATGTTTCATGCAAACAGTAGAGCTGACATGACCGATGTAAGAAATGATAAAAGATTGTATATAGACAAATATAAGCTGGCAACGAAGAACTAAACAGAACAGAAAGAAAAAAAAAAGAATAGCAATAAAGCAACGGAGAAAAAAACAAGAAAGGAGAAAAAAACGTGGTCTATATTATTATCAAATACATAGAGAGGCCATATCGATAGTCATATGCAAGAAAGAAAGACGTCTAGAGGTTAGCTATAAATTGTGGTGAGTAATAGATTTATACTTTGATCAAGACGATTGTCGAGAAACAATTTCAACAATGATTTTATCGGTTGCGTTGTTAATCAATTATGTGATTCTATTCTTTTTGGAAATTATTGGATATCATCTTTGTCACAGCAGTACGTACTCGACTTTTCTATGTTAGAAACGATATGGAAATTAAACGTATCTTTTTTTCTATTGGTTAATACAGTCGTTATGGTACTGAATGGTTATTATCATTTATGCCAAGTCATTTTATGTACAGTTCGAATCGTCTCACAACGAGTAAATATTATTGTTTGAGTCAACTTTCGAAGAACATGTGATTGTGTTTTTAGATTCAGTTTACATATACCCCACGACTTACGTATGGACTAGCTCGAGGTACATTTTCTTTTTGTTATTTTAACAATTGTATATCTCTTTGTCTTGATTAAATTAGTTGGTGTTGTCGGTGAATTAGTTGCTTTTGTTAGTTTCCTTTCATTGTCTATCTCTATCTTCCTCGAAAGCATCAAACACCTTTATGATGTTTTCTTTGTCATACCAAAGAGAGAAACGAACAGTTCAAAAATACTCACTGCACATGGACATGGTATGTTTTTCTTGGTGAAATAGAATTGAATAAAAACTTGTTTGTAATTATTATTATTAGAACATGTACACAGTCTTTATGATCGACCTGAATTCATTCTCGGCGTCGGAGTATATTCAATGATATCAAATTGTATCTTAGCTGTCGTATTACTTTGTATGTGAGAAACTAGTTTTCAGTGAGGAGAATTTTAGATGTATTGTCTAGTTACAATTATGCAACGTTCAAAACAATTTAAACAACAATTAAAACAACGACGACCAAGTAATACAGAACCAATACCAAAGAACATGTCCGACTCATGTATATCGCATCGTTATAGGCATTGATTCATATTGAAAATTTTCATTTCTTCCTTTCTTTCAGTGCTCATTACCGATACATTACCTATTCAACACTCATTTCTTCAAATATTAAGTATGCTGCTTGGGCCTTTGGCTCTCTTAACATGTGGCATACTCCTGTTCATTCTACCTCACAAAACTTCTGAAGAAATTACTTACCGCCGTGCAGTCGATCCTTTCATGGGTTCTCTTCTATTTTCTTATTACTTGATGATGCTTATTATTCCGAGTAAGTATTACACATGTTTTTATCATGAGCAAATTTTCATCTCTTAATCAGTACGGGAAGTTGTTCATCTTGTTTTGCAAGCAAAACCGTATGACGTGAATTCCGACGACATTGAATCAAGAGTTATGTCTTCTGTAAGATGTCTCTTTTATTCTAGAAAGTATTCTTCTGGTTTGTTTGTTTTTCTCAATGTAGGTTCCAGGCGTTGTAAGACTTCACGAACTGCATATATGGCGTTTAACACCTCAGAAAACATTGGCTACTGTGCATGTAGTGTTTAATACTACAGAGAGCATTCTAACTAAATATAAAACGATTTCTTTTATCTTTCAAACGCATCATATCGACCATGTGACTATTCAACCTGAATTTGCATTGGTTTGCTTGTCTTCCAAGTTAATGTTTAAACTTCATTTTCGTTCTTAGAGTGCGGAAGAAATTGACCAACTTGATTGTCGTTATCAGTGTTCAGCGGACAACGCCACTTGTAGTCCTTTGCAATGTTGTGAAACTTCACCTGCTATTATGCCTGGCACAAGCACCTCCCTGTCGCAAACTATGCACTTTCGTCGACGAAGTAGCGTAGATCTGAACAATGGTAGTGACATTAAAACAGAACAGGAAAAGCAGTTACTTGATAATTCAAGTGCTAATACTTCAGCTTCACCTCTGACGAATTCTTCAGTCGTCGTCACTACAATGAATGAGAAATAGACATTGTTTTCTTTTTCTAAAGTTTTTCTTGTGATATGTAGCTTTTAATCTTTAGCATATATACATTTTATAGAAGCGAGTGAAAAATATGATTTCATAATTAAACGAGTTTATCCAGAAAGAGTATTGCGTCATTTTCTTCTTACAGACAATTTCTCGAAGCGCAGAATCTCTCTAGATTTGCCTGCGTTTGCCTTTTGAAGACAAAAAAGCATACAAATGAAAGACTTTTCACATTTTGACGGGTAAGAATATAATTAAACTAACGACTATTATCAAGATTATTTAAGCCGAACAGACAGAATAAAACCAAAGGGTGGACTATGTGGTGAAACGTATTGCCCAAGGTATGTAACTCCACACAGATTCATCAAGCCTCGATGCTATTTCAACAAATTTAACCTATTCTTCAGTATTAGATTAAAGGTTTTAGTGTGCACATGCTAGGGAATGTACTTTGTACCCATGTTGATCGTTTCACATTTTAGTACATTCCAACGATATCAGCATGGTTCGACCCGTTGAAATTCAATGTAAAATTACAAGAATCTTGTCATTCGTATACTGTCTCCATGTGAAATCTTAAACATCGCACGCTGCATAAAGCATCTACGAAATAGTTTACATGCAAGTCGGCACAACAACGCAATTAGTTCGAGCCTTAGCACGTAGCTACAAACACACATATAGTTATCTGAAGGACGAGTATAGAGCACGATACATGCGCTTGTCTTTTGTTCGCTTCATGATACTTCTTCGATTGCTATTTATAGAATAGTATACTGATTACATGATAATACCTTGAATATGTTATAATTTGTGCTACGATGAATTACTAATCAGTGTTCATAAACAGACTTTTGTAATTGACTTTAAAGACTAAAATGAAATGATTCAGAGTCGAATCTTTCGGTTTTGTTCGAAATAAACTTCGCATTCTAATCAGTGACATCTATTACAAAGTTCGTGAGATAACATGTAAAAACGAAGCAACTATGACCTTTCACTTCAACCAGCCGATTTACTCAAAGAAAGCTTGAAGACAGAACGAAATGATTATCAAAATTTTATCTTCCACAACACCTTGTTGTATCTATCTTTCCTTCATCGTACTTCAGTCAAATTCTTTAGATGAATGCTTTCGGCCATCTAAGAACACGGATCCAGCGTGCGTTCTCCTCATCCACGAATACGAACATAAATTCTAATGGACAAGAAAGCTTTTCAATATCAAATAATCATTTTTCTTCCTATTACCGTTTTAATCTACCTACGGATCGTCAAACAAACTTAGAAACATCTTTACATACTTTACACGACCATGAGAATTCAATCTCTCAATCAACAACTGTCATCAATTCAAATCAGAGTCATCCAGAGATCTTATCCAATAGTTCTAAACGTACACTACGAACTATTCCTGGTGTTTTCTGTCCAATTGCTTTATCGATGTTAGCAATTTCAATCTTTATGCGTATTGGTTTTGTTCTAGCTCATGCAGGTGTTTTTCAAACATTACTCCAGTTGAGTCTTTGTTTTGTTATTCTTTTTTGTACTCTACTAAGTATTTGTTCATTGTCAACAAATGGAGCTATTGAAAGTGGCGGAGTTTATCATATGATATCACGTGCATTGGGACCAGAATTTGGTGGAGCTATTGGTGTACTATTCTTTTCTGCACAAGTCATTGGCAATGGACAAAGTGTTGCTGCACTTGTCGAAGCATTAGTCGATAGTTTTGGTCCTGGAAGTAAGAAGACAAATATTATCGCATCAGACGAAATAAACTAGCTTTTGTATATAGGTAAAGCCAATATTTTCTATAGTACACGTTGGTGGAGATTTCTGTATGGAACTATAATTAATTGTCTAAGTCTGTTAACATGTCTACTTGGTTCATCGTTGTATTCAATGGCTGCATTTTCGATATTTATTCTCGTTAGTTTTGTCTATCTTATGATTGTGATTTCATTCTTTATTCGTGGTCCACATCTTGTCCTCATACCTAAAGTGAACATCTATGCATATCAAAATGAAGAACAGATTTTTAATAAAACTGATCACTTATATGGACATTATACAAGTTTTAATTCGTCTACATGGACCGGTAATCTTTATGCTAATTATACGATTGATTATACGACGGGAGATACAACGAATTTTGTCAGTGTGTTTGGTGTCCTCTTTTCAAGTATTATTGGATTGTTATCCGGAGCAAATAGAGTCGAATGGGGTAAGTGAAATCCTAAACCTAGGCCTTTTTTTTAATTGAGTTTTTATCATGAACGATGATCTTTTTTTACAAAATAGTGTCTATATTTGTGTATTTCTAGGTGGATTGAATAATCCAAGTCGAAGTATTCCAACTGGTTCAATTTCTGCCACTCTCTATGTATTTGTTATTTATATTATTGAAACTCTACTTATCGCTGCAACAACAGATCGGTTTGTTGAAAGATGACATATGTCTATCAGATTTCGTTTGTTATTGGCCAACATTTTAGATATACTTTATTGAACAATTATTTATTCTTACAAGAAATTAATATCTGGCAACCTTTTGTAATCATCGGTATTGTATTTGCTGTATTTTCAGCATGTCTATCAGGAATAATCGGTGCATCGCGAATATTACAAGCGTTGGCAATCGATGAAATCTTCGGTGAATATATCTTTCTATTATAAAACATAATTCAGGGTCTTCGTTCCTATTTAGGACCATTATTACACTGGCTCAAGAGAGGAACTACTCGCTATGGAAATCCAGTCGCTGCTGTGCTCGTTACTTTTGTTCTTGTCGAAGTAAGTCATACTTGACTTGAATAGAAAATAGATTTTCTATTTATTCGTTTAGTTAACATTATTGATCGGTTCTCTGAATAAAATAGCTCGTATCGTAACCATTTTCTTCCTTCTCGCTTATTTTGCTGTTAATCTCGCATGTCTGGCACTCGATTTAGCATCGACGCCCAATTTTCGACCGACATTCAAATACTTCTCATGGCATACAGCAGTCATTGGTGCCATAGGATCGATTATCATGTGTTTTATCGTCTCAACAACATTAGCTTCAATTGCCATTGGAATTCTCACAGGTTTAATAGCGATCCTACATTTAAGAGATTTTCCTGAAGCATCATGGGGCTCCATATCTCAGGCATTAATTTTCCATCAAGTACGAAAGTATCTTCTCTTACTTGATCCACGCAAAGAACATGTGAAGTTTTGGCGTCCGCAAATCTTGTTACTTGTTTCGAATCCACGCTCAGCGATTAATCTGATTGATTGTGTGAACGATATGAAAAAAGGCGGACTGTTTATCTTGGGTCATGTTAAGAAGACGTCTACAGATGACGATATCGATGATTCCTGTTCACGAGAGTATCCACATTGGATATCATTAATAAAACAGATGAAGTTCAAAGCATTTGTCGATATGACAGCGGCAGCAAGTATTCGTGATGGGGTAATGCATCTGATGAGATTGTCAGGTTTAGGTATTGTGCTAAACTGAGAAGAATAGCACTTTAAAAGAATATGTATTTTAGGTGGACTACGACCGAACACAGTTATTCTTGGTTTTTATGATGAGACCGTGCCGGAAGATAAATTACACAGCCGCTCATTTGCGAAACGACGATGGCTGACAGCAAATCTCTCGGTATTTCAACGACAACGATCGACGAGTTCAAATATTTATCAGAACTCGGAATCCAGTTCTACTTCGGACATCCATTCGACATTGCAGTTTGCAAGTATAACACACTTCCTTTCACTTCATGCAAAGTATAACCTTTACTTTCCTATGACTAAGAATTACGAGAAGAAGATGAAGAAAAACAATTGGATATTCTGACATACGTTCAAATCATTAAAGATGCACTTCATCTGAATAAAAGTGTTTGCTTGGCACGAAACTTTATTCATCTACAAAAGGATAATCTTGAATCAAACGAACGAAAATCTTTCATCGATATTTGGCCAGTAAGTCAGTTTCTTCTACTATCTTAAAACCAGTTCACTTCACTCCGTCTAGGTTAATTTCATCTTTCCCAAAACATCAACACAATTTGATATTACATGTCTCTACATGTTTCAATTAGCAACTATACTTTCTATGGTTAAACCGTGGAAAACGCATGCAATCTTACGAGTTTTTCTTTGTATAGATGCGGTCAATGAGAATGCGCTTCATGCACATTATTACCTTGATGAGTTGTTAAAACAACTTCGTATCAAAGCACAAACCCGAATGATTTCTTGGGAGAACGTTACTAGTCTTTTACACAATTATACATCAGAACTTGTTGCTAGCGTAACAACAAACTCTACTGGACAACAATCAACAACAGCAGTAGCGTCCGATTCATTTGTTGACGTGAACGATGATTACATTCGAGGTATTAATGAACTCATTCGACAACAAAGCGATAATACATCGTGTCTCTATTTGTATTTACCACGACCGCCGCGTGACAGAAGACTTTCACAACGTTATATGCACGTTTTAGACATGCTATCGAAAGATTTACCACCATCTATGTTTGTTCATGGTGTTTCATCTGTCACATGTACACGATTGTAATGTTGTATATAAAAAAGATATGATTAAAATCAATATAAAGATAGTTTTGGAATGTCGATGAGTGTATGAAGTATACTTTTAGAGAGATACAAGATAATCATCTGTAACAAATCGAGTACATGTCGTAGAGAGAGCCAATGGCTGTGTATTATCGTCACTAAAATATTCATGTCAGAGCTGAATTAAGTAAGAAGCTTTATGCAAAGTATGTTTCTAAGAAAAGAAATGAGGAATTTGCTCTTCGCAAAAGATGATCTACACGATGGTTCGAGATTCACTGGTGAGCTTTTGATTCTGATCGATTTTTGAGATATGTTGTTAGTCAAATATTTCTTTCCTCTTATTTACTGATTAAGATCAGTCATCAATGTCGTCGATGATCAAAACTTAATGTGATGATGCGCTTTTATTCTTGAGATACACAAGCTATTCTTTCACGCCTCGTTATCAAGTGATAACAAGAGTTGACAGCTTATATCTTCGTAGTACCAACGTCTATCAAACACTTGCGAGTTTAATGAACATTTGCAAAACATTGACTAACCATATCAATTCGACTCACACACACGCACACACTCTCTCTTCCTATCTCTTGAATGATATTTTATTTAAAGTATAAAAAGGAAAATTCAGTACAATTATATAATCAACTAAAATGAGAAAGAAATCTGTTGTTCAAAGGCAAAACAAATCTTCTCATTTATAAGATTGATCATCATCATCTACATCCAGCATCCATTCGGGAGTTCTGATCGATTAGGTGATTTCGTTTTGTCGTGCCAAATGTGACTTATGTCTCGCTCGCGCAATCACACCCCGTGAGAGTCGCTCTTTTGCCGATAGCATACATCGTTCATGTTTGACAAGTTCCTATACTCCTCTTCGACAATGAACTACAATATGGCATCAATATGATCAGTGTCTCCAAGGAATTGACAATACACATCCACAACACTCTATGTTCGTCCGGCGAATGTCGCACGCAATGATTGCGATTTAATTTCCGATCAACACTCATGAGATGACACATTCATCTGCGAGTACTCTCTCTCTCTCTCTTTCGCTTCATTTTTATAAACACCAGATAGTAGTTAGGAAAAGAATGAAGATCATTCATGCCTCTTCGTCTTCACCAAAAGAAAACATCTTCAGTTCGATAGATTATTTTTCCATGTCAAATGTTTTGTGTCAGTTCATCTAGTTGAGAGGAATAGATTGACTGGTTTGTTTGTTCAAACAATGTGTCTAATTGATCGTCATCTCCAGGTTTTTCTCGCTACTCTGTATATATACATATAGATGTATCTGTACTCATATCGAGTATCCATCGCAGCAGAAAGCGTCCGATGTTTGACCTATATCTTGGTCGTCCCATCACATCGGACATCCCGACAATATCAATCAGGGAGACGTTCTGCTGTTTGGCCATCGTCCCATTCTCGTTGCTCTGACCGTCCCTATCTCTATCTATTGTTTTTGCCCTGGCGGATGATGAGCA